AAAGTGCAGCTTATTTGGGGGAGTTGTAGGTTTTGGATAAGTCTGGACGTCTGCTATTATTTCTTTGATATCTGCGATCGTGACATCGTTGAATGACGCGCGAACCGCACCGAATTCCTAGCGGCAAAAGAATGTGATTTTAAAGAGTTCGGAGCTTATCAGTGGGACGGGGAAAGCTCTTTGCACGGGTCAAGACAGCTTTCGCGACACATTGGTGACGAGAGACTTGCCACTTATCAGTGACTTGCAAGCAAACATTATCAATCACTTCTTATGGTTAGTTTGAAGTACCTGATGACGCACCAGCAACCGTAACCCTTTCACTTTTGAATCCTTTACTCTTTGTAACCATTCTCCTCACAGCTGGGAGGATTTTGTGGATTTTTTTGAAGTATGTTTGTTTTGTATTTTGCTATATTCACGTTGTCCCTTGTTGGTCGGCATGGCATCGATTAGTTCTGTATTTTCTGGGGTATAAGCCGCACTCTTGAACACCTCCACTTCGAACGCCTGCCAATGTTCTTATTCGTTTTACATTTGATTGTTTTTCGTTTGTTTTATCAATGTGAACGATCTGTAATTGGTAGGGGGGTTTGGGAACCGACTGGATGATAAGAAAACAAGAAAAATGCAAGAAGTACAAGAGGCTACTGATAAGTTTAGCAACTTTTCCTGCGTTTTGTCGCGTGCATCTCCGCCACCTTGCCAAGTAATATCCCAGAAAAATTCTTTTTCTATTCTACCAAATAAGTGGTTAGATGAAGTCGTTTATCCGGCTGATCTTTTGCATTTTTTCGTCCTCTCCAACTTACAATCTGTGAACTTCACTTTGTGGCTTGTGATGAAAACGATAAGGTCGAAACGTTCGGTCAAACAATAATTCCGTCTATAACAACCTGTTTTACGGAGGGTACTGAAAAACGCTATACTCGGTGTTTAGCTTTAACCATTCTTTTTTTGAGTTGGTATCTAGTGTTGCCCTTGTACAACCTCTTCGTTTTTTTAACTTCATTCTTTGAATGCCAAAGAAGTTGAGAGCATGGGTTACACTTGAATTGAGTCCCCTTTCTCTGTAGTTCTCGGTTGTGATAAGAGCTGTTAGAAAATGGATCTGATATCGAAGCGGTAGCGGCGTGTTCTTCAAAATTGTGCCCCGATAACGGCTTTAATAAACCAACTTCATTTAGTGGTACAAACTTTTCCAGGCTTACTTAATTTGAGCAAGCAAGCTTTCCATATACATTTTGAAAAAGGAACGAAATTATTGAGAAGCGCGGCTTGTTCCAAGTTTCTACCACAGCTGTACATAAACTTGCTAGTTCAAGAGGTTCAGTGCTTGTGTTTGGGGCACT